AAATCCTTTTTTAACTAACAAATACTCTCTTTTTTTTCAAAATGGCAACGCCCAAAAAACCCAATTATCATGGAATTTAACTGAATCAACAAAACGATGTCGTTGCAACTTTCTCCTCGGAAATAACACTTCCCTTGACCCCTACAAGAACTGCTAAACCACAGAAGCTCACAAAAATCACAGGAACTTACACTGCAAAAGAAGCTTCAATGGCATCCTTGTTAGTCTCCATCAGTTTCCCTATGCCTCTCTCCGCCCCTAAATTCTCATTCAAGGTAAAAAAATCATTCATACCCATCTTCTTGTAAGCGACAATTGTTATATTTAGCTTATCCTTATTGAGTTTCTTTGTCATTCTATTTCATTGAGTGATCCAAGAATTGAAATTTCTTGATTGTAAGGCTCTTTATTTGAGCACTGTGAATTCTTGTTGCTATTCTTATGAAGTCGAGTAAATAATTTGGTGGGTTCTGTTTTATAAAAGAGTGTTTTTTTTTTTTTTCATAAAGGAATGAACTTTATGGAGTAAAGTAGTGCTTGAGATGGTATGGTGAGGTTGGGATGTTTATAAATTTCTGGGGTAAGAGTTGTTTTATAGTTTGATTCAGTTGGTGTTTTGGATGTGATTTAGGAAAATTATGGGTTGTCATCTTGTAGGATTAGGAGTTTGGTCGTCCTTTTGTTTCCTTTGAAGGGTTCAGTGTATGATATGGATATCTTGTCTGAAAGTGTAGAGACTGTTTTTTGGGCAAAAAAATTGATGGTTCTTTTGAAGGATACCATGAATGCGTATTGTGTGAGATGAGATGAGTTATTGTAGATTAATATTCCCATCAAATTCTTGGAATAGAATGTTGCTAACCATTGGATACAAGTATTAGTTAGTTGTTAAATGAGAAAACAGCATTGAAAGTGAACAATGTGATCATGTTTCCTTTGAGCTGCATTATGATAGGGAGAGATCTTGTAGAATAGTCCATATACAGACAAGTACTTGATGGTTCCTTGCTGCACAAAAGTGTAGAGGAGATAAATGTTTTCACTTTAGAAGTCAATTAAAAGATTTGAGATTGACAACTTTTGGCATGGAATTGTGTAAAATTATAGTTTTGTTATAGAAGCTGACTGGTGGATTGATCACACAGTCTGTGTTTTTAAATTGTTTCCACCTATTAGCCAGCATGAAAATAAATTTTCAATTCTCTTGTTGAAAACTAATAATGAGTTCCTCTTACAGTTCTGGGGTAAATGAGTATTTTACTTCTCATCTTTATGATAAGATTATATCAAATGTAAGAAATTAGACATGAAATTTGAAGTTCACGTTTGTCTTAAAGTTTGGTTTGAACCAATAGTCAACATCATAGGTTAATTCATAGAAATGCTGACTTTTTATATATCTGGTTGCATGTTCAAGACTGTAACTGCTTGCAAAAATGAGCCTATGTCAGTGTAGAGTTGCTGTTTCATGGTGATTTAGATTCTTCCTGCCAACCACTAGTAATGGTTTATGCATAATATCCATCACTTACCACATCATGAGTTGGTAACCTTTCCCCAACTATTATTATTTAATTTGTATTATCACGTTGTGCTCCCCAAGTTCTTGACTTGAGTTAATAAGTTTGTGTTTTGATTTGGGACTGTTTTGTGACTGGTTTCCCAGGAATTACAACTAAGGAAATCAGCTGTTACTAGACTTTCAGGCCAAGCAACATCTGGGACAGGTATATTAATGTCACGCCATCTACCAAAAAAGAGTTGAAGCAAGATTATTTATTACCATTTTTGCCTGTGATGGGAACATAAGCTTGCGAAAATAAGTAACTGTTAGAGCATAACATGTTGAGTTGAATTAGAAGTGCACCATGGATTGTGGGTTTGGAAGAGTTAGACTATGTAATGAAAACTTCTATTTAAAGTAAAAAAAGATAAGGAAAGGAAAAGGGAGAAGTTCACTGGTAATGCTAACAGATAATGCATAAGAAACGTGAAGACCTGCCTTCTACTTGCTCTCTTATATGACTTCAAATTTTGTTTACAGCAACGAACCTTTTGGTCCCTTGCAACGCAACTGGAGAGATACTTTCTGCGAATCAGAGCTGCGGTGGATGTCTAGCAACTCCCATCAACCATTTTTACCGACTTGTTTCTAGTTGTATGCATGTAAGTTCTTGTACTCACAAAATAATAACTGGTTATTGGGTAGGGCCAGATATAGATGATGGTTGGGGATTTGTAGAAGGTTTCGTTAATCAAATTACTTGATTTTATTTTATCATGAATGATCTGACTGGCTCATTTTTCTTGTACTGTGTAGACTTTGATGTTGAAGTGAATATCAGAAATTTTAGAGAATGATGGATTTCTTTTTATAATTGGACCAAAGTAAAATATTAATGAAATCTTTAGTTTTCCTTGATAAACATTTTTTATCATATATATGAGCTCCTCTCAAATGTTAGGATGATTTCTTGGAAGGAGCCATGGACTTCCAGAGAAAGAACAAAGCTTGCTTACTCACTTACCATGATATTATGTTTTATGCTCTTGGTAGAGTCGATGGTGGAGGGTTTTAACGATAGCTATTTGTTTCTGTCAGAGCTACATTATAACAGCATCATTTTCTTAGCACTTATATTGCAGAAGTGTTGGCATGTCATGCTATGCATGGAATAATTTAAGCCCATTGTCATTGCTGAATGGCATTGGTGCATTTTGGCTTGCATCAAATTAGTTCCTGGTACGATTGAGGATTAAGGTGAGGACTTTTTTTCAAACTTGAAAGACCAATGCAGCTCTTGAATTTTTTAGTCTTAGGGCTTGTAACAATTTGTTGCGCTTGCCTGTGGCAAGCTGTTGCATTGCAAATGGACAACTCATGATTCTATTACCATATCTTAGAGAATAATATAAATTATATTCCAGGACCTCATCTAACAACTTAAGTTATTGGATTGAGATGGTTTTTTGACATGGTATCAGAGTCTTGATGACCAAACGGTTACGAGTTTGAATTTTATCATTGAATTTTATCATCTTCATTTATTTAATAAAAATTAAGCACAAGATAATATAGGTCTGTGCAGGTTTTAAGCCCAAAAAACTTTCACTTGAAAGGATGTGTTAGAGAATAACATAAATTGTATTCTAGAACCTCGGTTAAGATGGTTCTTTGACACCATCTATCCTATAAAATTGGTGCACAAAACGTGGTCCAATACTTGTTCTGTTTAGTTTAATTCGGATCCTATGTTGCCAAGTGCTTTCTAGCGCGCAATGCAAGCAACCAGATTATGAAACCCAATGCCGAGACTCATGGTCAAAGCATGTGGAAGCAGCTTTAGTTGAAATCATTCTTTCAAGAATGCCATAATTAGTTGCCTAATATTGCATTGACATAGTTGGTCCTAGAGTCTCGAGGCTATCAGACAATTCATTCTATCAGGAAAGCCCTTAACAGAGTTATTTGCTTCGGTATAGTTAGTACTTAGAACGTTTTCAATTAGTTTCGGCTTTTGTCTCTCATGTTGTCTCATATCATGTATGATTTCTCTCATTTTGTTGGGAAACAATTTTAAGTGGGTCTTTGCATTCCTCTCTCCCTTTTCTATTAAGCACAACTAAGATTCCATCTTTTGTCAAAACAGATGATAGTTGAGAAGTGGTCCCGAAGAGCTCAGTGAAGCTCTTGGTGGTATGTTGAAGCTTGAAACCTAACTCAATTTCATTCTAACATTAATTTATCAGGGTTCTATCATCATCTTTTTAGTACGGGGAGATTACCAATCCATTTGCTGATATAGTTAAAAATAAGCATGCTTCAGATTTTGATTGGATTTTCTCGACAAAACATGCTATGTAAAGCCTCAATAGTAGTGGTCCCGATTCTAGGGTTACGCAAACTCTGAATCTAGTACTCAAGTGATCTTTTTTAGCCCTAATTAGTTGACTAATTAATTATGCATCTGGTAACTTCACTTGCTTTCGAGAGGGAAGAATCAGAACAACGAAGGTTCAACTACATCCAGGTGGCCCTTTAGATATTTTGTTTAGCTCTAGCATTTTCAGGTCATGTATTTGCTGGTTGGACTTTGCTTGAATGGTCACGGAGAGCCCCGGGGGGCATGCAAGAGTGCTCAAAGAACCATGTGGTGCACGTTTGACTCCTATTGCTGGGGAACCCTTGAAATGCACGCAGTCTCCTCGTAACCAATTACTGATGAATGAATTTGCCACATAGGTTGGCATGCTTAATTAGCATGATTGAACATCAGGATTTACATAAATATGTGAACAAATAATGAACATTACTGGTTTTAGCAAGCTGCTGTTGCTGTCTTTTGGTCTGGTTCAGACACCGTTCTTGAGTTTTTGGATGGCTTCGTCAATTATCAAGTCTTTCCTCTCTAAGAACCTTCAGTTCCTTTGTTCAATTCAATTCGAGTTATCAAAAGAACAAAGTTAATTGTCAATGTTTTATAGTGATTGATCAGAAAATTCACAAGTTTTGAGCAGGAGCAGTACTGTTCGTCATCCTTATAAGAGCGTGAGCGCGCGCGCGAGAGAGAGAGAGATAAGAGAAACGTACGTCTGAACTGTAAAGACGAAATGAAGAAACAAAAACATTTTGATTAATGGTAAAGGGTTGAGAAGAAACTTTAGATTCCAATATATTCACATTGAAACTAAAGATTTTCCAGCAATCTGATGCACCCAACTTCCTTTCTGAAATCTATGAACAGGAAACTAGAGGGTTCTTACTCAAAAGCATCAAGAAAAAGGTTCTCTTATAGCTTGAACATTGCTTACAGTACAAATTTCAAAAATCTTTCATGTGAAGCTCGTATTTCTCGAAGTTATGAACAAGAAGCTAACTTGTCATATGTGTACAGTAATCACAGGCCTCAAGCTAGAAATTATGAGAAAATTTTAGACACCAAAAACTTTGCTACTTAAGTGAAGTATGCAATTCGAAGCATAGCTAAATATTACCTCAATGTAAAGGAGAAGTTAAGAGATAAGACGAAGAAACCGTCAGCTCAGGAGAAATATATATTAAATATTACCTCAGATTATACAGATTTGTCAAAGCTTTTTCAAGTCAAAAACTTCAAATATCAAACCTTGTCAAGAGATCTAAATCTTTATCAAGCAGGTAAATCTCCAAAATTTGTCTTCTTTGTACATCACGGTCTTCATGTTCTTCGTCTTCTCGATCTTCTTCTTCATTACTTATCATAAAGAGTGGACATTATTTCTCAGGAAGGATTTGTGAAAGAGCTGCTGTTGCCCTTATCAAGAACCCTAAATTCTACTCCGTTACTAGGAGCTTCAATTGGTTGCTTTGGCTGCTTACTTTCATGGTTGGGTTCTTCACCTTGGTCAGTGCCTGAAGCTTTATGTTGGTTGGTGGATCTCTCCCTTTCAGCCTCTCTATATTTATGCAAGTACCTTACCATAGCCTCTGCATGGTCATCAAACCCTAGAGAAATGAGAGCCCAACAGATGTCATCTCCGTTCACTGTCTTGCGGTTCTCTTTCTGACACTTATCAGATGCCTCACCAGTTACAAAACTTATGAATTCTGTCGCGCATTCTTGCATGGTTTGTTTTGCTTCTTTGGAAATCTTGGCAGTTGGTGGCAGGATTTTCTTCATCATCCGACCCACATTGGCAATAGGCAACAATCTATCTTGCTCATCATCCATTTCTTCTTAATAAGAAATTGTTCTTTGCTTTGCAAACTCTCTTGGTAATAGTTTGCATAAATATATGTGTGTATGTGTATGTGTCTCCACACAGCATGCACATGGATGCACATCGATCACTAACACGTGACATAATATAACGATGCATATAACAAATTGTTGAATTATATAGAAAAAGAATCATGTTGCAGATCGTTTGACTAAACAAGAAGTTCTTGAAAAGTTGATTTAGTTGTCTGGTAACACTATAGTTACTTTAATTTATTCAGGATTTTTTATGCTTGATTTTGGTTGTGTGTTTAGTTTTGTCAATAAGTTTTTTTATATTCTACTAATTGTTAAGTCATGTTCTTAATGGTTATATCAATTGATTAATATATCTCTTGTTATTCATAAATAAACAAATTGAATTAATGATTGTCACTAGTACAAAAGACAAGATTAAATAGAAAAAGATTCTTAGAGTAACTAATACCAAAGACTATGATTTCTTAAATTTATTTTAAAATTAAATGACAATCACGATTCTCGATATTATACATATATAAATATTCAATGTCACATAATATATATACTAAGATATAATATTAATGTTATATTTTGATACGGTTAAAATAACCATTCATAACTATTAAGATTTTAAATTAAAATTTGAAATCCATTCTTTGTTATTATAAAATTATAAAAATCATAATTATGTGTTGTTCAAATTGCATAACCTAATTCTAATTTGATTGAAAAGGAAAGAAAGAAATTAGAACACAAAAAACAAAAAAACAAAAAAAAACAACTTGATGTATATTGATTATGTAAACACCTTCAAAATTATAATTAAATCATGACATAATTTTAATCACATCTTATTACACCACAAGAAAAAACTTCTTCGTCAACTGAAGATGAGGATTAGTTTGGTCAACCTAAATATTATTAATCCTCGTAACTTTGCTAGTTCCCCAGCTGCAAAGCTGATTAGTAGCGGTCTCCCTTGCATCACCAGCGCTTTTTTTAAAATATCCATATAATCTGCAGCGCTTTCTGCTTGCAGTGCATTAGGACTGTTCATATAATACTATTTTCTGCAAATTCAAATGAGTGGACTCCGTTTGTGCACGTTTGCATGTTTCGGGATTAACCTCAGCAATACCTAAAAAGAACTGATTTTAAGCACTAGCTAGCAAGTGCTAGCGTCTGATTTACCTCAAGCTTAGGCCAGTTTTTAGGTTTCTCTCTATATGGCATCAGAGCATTTGCATCATGAGTATAATTAAACTGTTTGGTTGGTCATACTGCTAGTGGGAACTCGAAAGCTTTAGATATTGATTATAGCAAGAGGCAAGGTCAGTTAATTTAATTACTTGTAGTGAACTGAAATTAGGTTTCCAAAGGTATTGTTTAATTGATTTTTTTTTTTAAGTTTGATGGTCATGATCAGTGCCAAATCTTGAAATGGACGGTTTTTTTTATAATGGATGGTACCTTTTTTTTATGCCTGTAAATAGTTCAATGATGCACATTCTCTTTTCTTAGTGGCTATTTTATGCAAAGCTTAGTTGAATTTTGTTAGTAAATAGTTGTTTAGGCATAATATTATGTGAATCGAATCAAGTTCATTTCTTTTTAGGCATATTCGCGTTTCTTATATTAGGTCTATTTAATATAAGTTTAACCCTGTTTAAAAATATAATTGTGGTTATTTTTCAAAATATTTCTTATTAAAAAATATATTAAAATAATATATTTTAAAAATTATTTTTGATATAAGCATATTAAAATGATCTAAAAAAATCATTATTTATGTGAACTCTAAACAATGTTCATGTATAGAGCTTCGAAAATATCTCTTGTTGTATAGGAAACATCTCATTTATACTTTCTGTACGTATATAAGCTTAAAACGTCTTCCATATTCTATCTACTTACATTGCTGAGATTTGCTTTATGCATCATTATTTCAGGTTTCAATCAAAAGGGTTGGCTGAAAAAAAGAAAATTTTCATGATTATGATGGATGACGACTAGCTTAAAAACGGACAAAATGAGATCAACTTAATTTATGTGTGAAAGATAACGTGGGAATAAATGCCTTAATTGTTAAAGAAAAAGAAAAATATAGCCTGCAGGACCACACATAGTCTCTATGACTTTTGTATATTATGTTCAACCTATTGGCAAATGACTATTTGAATCACTCATCGAAGTTGATAAATTGAAAACTTGCTCAATAATCAACCTACATGCTACCGGAGAATTCGGAAAAAGTAACGGGAAACAACGAGTTAGTTTTTGACGATAGTATTTTTATCGATGTGTAAAATATCAATGAAATTTATTTTTATTGAATGACAGAATATTTTATCGATATATATTTTATAATTTGATAGTGAGATAACTAGTAACCTCTTGATGCTAACTATTTGAGGTTTTGTTTATTGAATCTTAATTTTGCTCAACTTTATGACTTGGAAGAACATTTTTGATAGGGTTTGGAGATATTTCTTTGAAAATCTATTTAGGGTTTGTAACTCTTTTAGGGTTTCCATGAAGGACCACAGAAACAGATAAACAAGTGGCTACACGCACTAAATCCATACAATGAAGTAATGATCCGTAAACCCTAGCAAGATATTTGGAAGTCATTTCTTTATACAAGGAATTGGAATACCTCTTGTGTTGGCCATAAATAACTTTGTTTAGATTCCTTTCTTTTTGGTACCTTAATTACCCAAATGGGCATCTCATGTGGTCTTGTTCTCGTTCCTTTTCTTTTCTTTTCGGTCTAAGCCATAGTACCAATTTGAAGTATCTTTTTTATAGTTTAAAGAATGACTTTGGTGTATTGAATAAAAAAATCGCTGCCTTCTTGGGGAATCAGTATCCTTTCACCCTCTCCTTTCATAAGGAAAAAAAATAATCCTTTCAACCCTAATTAATCTCTTGTAAAAGTTTGAGAAATTAATTAAATGCATAGTGGATAGGAATAACACCCTTTTTTATTTGTTAAAGTTTTTCGTATCATAAGTGCATGCAGGAAGGTAGGAGACTTGTTGAAGACAGCATTATTCTTTTTGCCCAACTAGACCTTCCTTTTGTTAATTAAAGTTGGTACTCTTGAGTTAACTAGCTTGTATATCATGATTATATCCATTTCTCTAGCTACTTCGATCAAAAACAACGTACCCACATCAAATTTAAAGTTTGTAAGATTGAAATTCGTGTGTTTGGCTAGCTAGGTAACCTGTTCATGTTCTATTCAACCAGCACACAAGGATTTCCTCATGCATCTTATTCAATTAATCAAATTAAACACCATTACCTCTTTTACTCGAGGCTAATTTGCGAGGAATTGAAAGGACATAAATTAATTATTTATGACCAAAGAATAACTTCATAGAGCAACGAATGATTACCATCAACAAGAGGCTGAGATAGAAAAAACATGTTTTCCATGTATTTATTGTCTTAAAATCACTTTTAAAAATTCATTATATCATGGATATATTTCTTTTATATTTTTATTTATCGGTAGGGCGGAATGAATTTCAGCATGCCGAGAGCATTACTCTTTTCCAAATTATATATCTTTTATGGAAAAGTTAAAATTAAACTTAAATTGTTTGTCTTCCTGGCACTGGTTAAAACTTTCTGAATGAATGGAGAATATATTCACTGATAGGAAATTGGAAGCAATGTTGGGTTTGGTATGATATTTTATGCAGCCAAATCCAAGCAACACCATGTATATATTTGTGATTAGACGTGGAAGTTTAGCTTCTTCTCTTTCTCTTTCTCTCTGTTTTTTTTTGTGAATATATATTGAGCTTAACCTTGCTGAGACAAATTCGTATTTGATATTGTAGTGTAAAGTGTTTTTTTTTAATATTTATTTTTAAAATATATTAAAATAATATTTTTTTATATTGTTAGTTATTTAAATTAGCATATCAAAATAATAATAAAATACTAATTTTAAAAAAATAAAAAATGTAGAAAAAGACCACACTCACAAACAATGATCAAGTCATAAGCTTAACCTTGTATCGTTGATAAATTAAATCTTCACAATTATCCTCTCCGAGATAATGATTACCCAAATTATATTTCTCATATTCAAGCCATGGCCACAAAAGCATAGTTGCTAGTTAGGGTGCCTAATACACGAAAAGAATAATAATCAGGCGGTCATAGCCTAATGTTTGTATATCTAATAGTTTCTTTTAACTATAATTTATTTGATTATTATGTAATAGTAGAGGGTTATCCCCATCGTCCTGCTTAAGGTCTCAAAAAAAAAAAAAAGGAGTCGGAGGAAAAGAGAGCAATGTTTGGACCTGGGCTCATTTCAAATTGTTGAAGGGCTCTAACATTCAAGCTAGTTTTTGGACTCAAGACAAGCCATTGAAGAATTGTTAGTGTTCAAGAAAGAGCATCTAAGCCTAAAGTTTGTAAAGAATGCGTCAGCCCATTATGGCTAAATGCATGCTGGGCGAGCTTAGCATTGTTAATTGAATGGGGCTAATTGTTTTTGTATTATGATCCTATAAGGAGGGACTATACTGATTATTTTCAAAACTTTTGGGGACTAACTTGCAATTGACTGGAGATATGCAGGTAGAAACCTAACTTGCAATTGTTGAAGGGCTCTAATATTCAAGCTAGTTTTTTGCTCTTTAATTGCCAAAACTTAAGCTATGGTGGTGTATATTACTATTTGAGTAATTAAACTATATTTCGAATTATTATATGTATCCCTATTTAAGAACTATCTAAGAAACTGGAATCAAGAGCAAAACAATCCAATTGAAGACATTTCGTCAAGTTCACCTTATACTCTTCACATTTCATCGATTTAACTTAATTTGATTAAAATGTAAACAAGTTAAACATCGTTTTTATGCATTAAAATATTTACCTTATAATCTCACTTGTTTTTTTTTTCTTTCCTTTTCTTTTCTTAACATATATAGTTATTATTTATTAGATTGCTTGTTTTGGTTTTAGCAATTCTATAGTTTTTATGATGCAAAAGAGGCGAAGGTTAGTAAGATTTGTTACAAATTTGTGTAAATAAAACACTAAAATGT